AAGGAACCAAGGAACTCAAATATTAATTGATTTGACTGGTTAGAAAGGAGATGATAGACAACCTGTGATGGGAAAGGAGGAGAAAACTCCACGCACATCTATGATATGCTGGGGTAATAAACTTCATAGTTTTAAGATGTAGAAATATATGGTATGTGAAAATGGCAGTTCTTGTAATAACCCACTGCGGTTCAGAGCAGAGTTACCAGGGAGTCAGGAAAGGGAAAAAAAATCTGTCTCTTACAAGTGGGATCTGGGTTTACCATGGGACACAGCAGCTTGTCAGGTTGATGAGATTGGAAAAGGATAAAGCTGAAGTTCTGTCAATACGGACAGGTGAGAGATTCTTTCAGGAAACTAGATTTTTAGAGAGGCCAAACGAAATTGTGGCAGTGCATCGGAGACAGTGGGGGGTTAAAATACTCAGCATTGTTCAACCCCAGCCCAATGGACTTGTGCTCCGGGGATGGATTGGTACCAAACTGCTAGGTCTTTGGGGAATTTGGGTTAAGAACCTAAAACCTTCCCTAACAGCTGTTTACTGTATGGAACCATATACTTAAGACCCTTTTTCTACTTAAGCCAGTGTCTTTTAATTCAGATTTCCTTCTCCCTTCTGCCCCCAACTCTGCCTCTCCCTCCCCTCTATTTTAAACAGTTATCAAGAAATTATTTGGAAGCTCCAGCCTTCAACCGACTTTTCCAGGATTTGGAAAGAGGCAAGGGCTCCTCATCACAACTGAGTCATTTTCCAAGCAGGGCTTCCTTAGTCCATTGCTTGGGGAGCTCTTCCAGGGGCTGTGTGAAAGGCCACCCGACAGCCAGCAGTGGCTTCCACGACAAGCCATTGCAAGAGTATTTCGACGAGAGGCTGATGGAGCTGAGGAACTACGAAAGTAAGAGGTCAAATAGGAAGACAAAAGCATTTGCTGATAAGTGCCAGAACCCCTTCCTCACCCGCAGAGGATCTCGGCGCAGAAGCAGCTGCAGTGCCGTGGTGGTGGCCGGGCACGGCAAGGAGAGCGAGGAGTCCTGCAGCTCAGCAAACCCCGACAGCAAAAAAGGCATCGAGCCCAACGACCGAGAGGAAACCCAGAGTGTCCTGGACCTCTACAAGGATGACTTCTTGGACATTCTGACCATGCACATTGCGGCTCCCCTAGAAGCGTTTGTGCAAAAATAGTGACACTGGAGCTGGCTGTGGCTTTTCGTGTAGCCCTGACAACCAGGAGGAATTGTTCCTGCTCAGCACCATTCTGACTTAAGTAGTTCGTGTGTGTCAGTCCACTCTGAGACAGAAATGTGCTTGTTTGTGGGAGAAAATATTCTCTCATTTCGTGCTCTTGATTAGCGTTGCATATATTTGTTTTCAATTATTTTCTGCAAAGAATCAGTATAATTGAGCCATAGTTGTGATTTATGATATACAGAAAGCAGCATTCTAAATGCATGCACGTATTACTTGAATTCTTAAGTTGCCTTAAAAAGAAGGTGATTAGTGTCAGAGGAGCAGCTTGGTTTGTATTAGCTAATCTGAAGAGAGACTGGTGTGTTCTGCCTCGTTACTTTCAGCCTCTTGGTTTTTATTGTGTCACTTTGGCCCAGCTCATTTAGGGTGATGTTTCACACAGGTTCAAATAGTTGATGAGAAATGAGTGATTTTCACTCATTGCCACATGTAATCACCAGGTGCATCATTCTAAGTGTTCGAGGCATGAAGCAGCAAACACAGACACAAGTTTTACTTTTAAAGATGATCAGCCATTGTGGTTTCATTTGCAGACTCAAAAACCTTTGACTTAAGAAGCACTTCAAGGGCAGAGAGGAAAAAAATGCTAGATTTAGGTGAGACTGATGGAAGTAAGTATGAAAGAAGGCTCCTTCCCTCTTTCTTATTATGAGAACAATATAGCAAATTCCTAATGCAATCTGAACTTCAAATTGTTTATTGTATGTAAGTGTTTATCATGGTCATCGAAGTACAGCTGCAGCTGAGTCTTTTTATTGCATGAAGTTGATGTTTAATTCCCTGGTAGTACACTCAGACCCAAAGCAGGCAATTATTTTAAGCTTCCAGAAAGAACTACTACAGCCTGTGGTATCGTCAGCAATAAATTCCTCATTACAGTGTTGGTTTGAGTTGTTGTTTCTCTCTTTGCTTTCAGACTTGTTTGCATGTGAGTTAACAAGTAAGCCATGCCTTGGCAAGACCTCGTCCCTTCCCGTGCTGGCTTCTCTCCATCACTTCGACCTCCCTCTTCCTCCCCTTTCTCCAGCCCCGGTGAAACTTGTCCCAAGGTGTGTCTGCTCCCTTCTGCAGTTCATACTTTCTCTCTTCCCCATACTCACCTGTTTGCAGAAATATTTCTTCTACTGGACTGCCTCCTCAGCTCTGGGGCCCCATGTCTCTGTCTTTCAGAGTGTGTGAGTTAATAGATGCAAAGAGGAGAGTGTTGATTAAGGAATCTCTCTCATCCCTCCTGCCAGTCCCCTGAGGAAATAACCAAGAATTTTCCCCCCAAAAGGGAAGAGAAACAGATAAGACTCATTCCACATCCCTTTCCCAGCCCCGGGATCCGACAGCGTTTTAGGGAACTGAGACGAGGTGCTGCGAGCTCAGTCCTTTGTGTGTGGGAGAAAGCATTATGTACTTAGGATAAATGAATTTTTCAGCATTCACAGTTGCCTCCCTGCTGCAAACGGAGGGGAGCAGCCAATTAGGTGAGATTTTCCCTGAAGGAAAATATTTATTTTTTTTTTAGATTCAAATGAAAGTCTGAAACACATAATATATTAGCAGATGCCATAGAGGGGATGCATCTGGTTTTCATTGTAAATCTGCCAGAGGTTAGTTTCTCCTCCAGCAGTGAATGCATAATAATAACATAGTATTATATGAGGGCATAATAATAACAGTGCATAAGGACAAGAGAACAATATTAATGGAACACAGGCAACCGTAATTCTTTCTTTTCTTAACCATGTAGCTTTGCACCCTTAAATAGGTGCTTTTGAAGTTTAGTTTTGCAAGTCACTTCCGACCTACAGACGTTTTTACAAAAGGCAAACTGCCTGCCTTCCTGCTTCTAATATTTCAGTCATTATCTCACTGCAATTATCCCAGATTAGCGGGTCTGGAGCATCCCCAGCCTCTCTGCAGACCCCTGCCATATAAGCTAACAGCAGTTCATGGAATCTTGTACTGTTGGGGTTCTGCTGAAGTTTGCTGACAGCAGAGGAAAAACCTTTCCTTTAATTAAGAAAAAATTTGGCAGTGATAAACTGTAATTAAAAAAAAAAAAGAAAGTCAGGTAAAATTTACCCGAGCCTTTATAAATGGGCTGTTCGAGTTGCTCAGCTTCTGTGGCAGTTACTCTCTCCACTCAGCACATGTAAGAGCACCAATTCTTAATAGGCCTTATTTTCTTTTTTTTTTTTTTTTTTTTAACTTTTACTGCAGACCAAATACAAAATAGAATTACAAAACCCAATGAATTAGACTCTGACTTGGCAGAAGCTTGTATTGTCTCCTCCCCCAGAAGCACCCCATAGACCTGAAATTGCAGAGTCAGGCCCATTTATGGTATTTTTCATCTGTAAAGCACCCTAAGGGATTAAAAAAGTTGTCATGTTTTTTTAATTGGCTTTCCTTCAAAACAGTGTAATGACTTTCCTCTGAGAAGCTGCACATCTCATGCCGGAGATAGTGGAAAAGTCTAAGGAAGATTACATCTCCCAGGAGGGAATATATCTAGATGTTGCCGTACAAAAAGGACATTAAGTTACAGAGAGAACAAAACCACCAAGAACTGTTAGAGAAGGCATAAAATTTCATCTCACATCCTCTCAGATTGTTAAAACGTTGTGAAAAATGGCTTGGGTTTGTTTGGAAAGTGATAATATGCACGACCTGAATTTATGTAGTCTATTACCTTGGGTTTTATTGAGTTTAGCTGTTGGACGTCACTGCTGCTTTCATGTAGATAATCTGTTTTCACAATGTTCTTTCATGAAACTTGATGCAAACCCTGTTTGCCATTAGCAGCCTCATGAAAATATTCTCTATGCCTCTTTGAAATACTCTCCTTTCTCCTCTTAAAGAAAAAGCACTGCGCCGCTTTCCTCCTGGAGATTTTGGAGCTCCTCTTTGGTTTAGATCTTTCTGTACAGAATACCAAAGAGCACACTTGGTTGGCTGTTGTGGTTGTTTTCCTTCTTTAACCACTTTCCCTTGGCCTAATTGGAGCTTAGGGAAAGTCCTCTGTAGGGCCTCAGAAATCAGCCAGTGCTCAAATTAAAAAAAAATGAAAAATAGTTCATGTTTTCTGAAGCCTGTGCTCCTACTACGGATTTTGTCATCCTTGGCCTTGCTTTTAAGGTTGGAAAGAGCTGACAGTTTGCAGTGCAGCAGAAGGCTGGGGATGTGAGGATGGAAGGCAGAGGGAGGACACCTCAGGGGAATCACAGCCTCCTTGCAGACGAGAATCTCAACTTCCACAAAGTGAGATAGATACAACCTCAGTTGGGTTTTCAGTTTCTTCAGTCTCTGTGAAGATGTGACGGGCCAGAAAATACAAACAATGGTGATACTAAAACATATGAAGCCATGAAGATCTAGCAAGATCTGAGCTGCATCCCCCTCTCACTGTTATCACCTTCAAGATCCCAAGGACTTGAGGAAGCTCTGTTTGATTACATGCCTCATTAAAGCAAAAAGAATAGTTTTCATGTATTTAAATTAAGGAATTTATTAAAAAAAAAAAAAACAAAGCCAAAAAAACAATCAAAACAGTGGTTTGATCTAGATACAGCAGCACTGTGACATTACTAGGACATTATGTACGAAGAATCCAAGCAGCCATAGAACACAGAAGCCTTTATCTTCAGTAACAATCCCAAAATGAAACTAGCTTCATCAAACAATGTTAAAGATCTCCCTGGAAAGAGAAACAAAACCAAACAGACCCTCCCCACCCCTAACCCTTTGGATACTAGAATGATTTTTTTTTTTTGTACAATACCAACAGCCACTAGCTCTTCTAATTGAGAACACTTGCTTTAATTTATTACAAAAATGATCTGTTGCCTCAGTTATGAAAGACAACTTTTAACATTGCTTTAGAAGTGTCTGCTCCTCTTATAGACTACAGTATTAGAAGTGCTTAAAAACATTTAATCCTGGATATGCTCTTGAAATTCAATCAGAAGGATACTCTGTGTGTGTTTATATACCAAATATGATTTTTAATTTTTAAAGCAGGTGAAAAGACTAACCCTAATGTGAAACTGCAATTTTACAATTTAATTATTAGTCAGAAATGGGCAACCACATGATACTTCATGAAATCTTTAGGTCTATCTACATTGCTCAGAAACACAAAATAAAGTTTTTACAACTTTTGCCTTCAAAAGGCTAAAATGCTAAGTCTTGCAGAAGAGTGTCCAGTGTTTAAAAGAAATGCAATTAAGGGAGACCCCATTCAATACGTGACACATAACTCGTTTGAGCTTGCTATTAATCAGGTCTAACAGCTGCGTGTGGGGTGATGAGAAAGGAAAACGCGTTTGTCATCCAGCCACTACCTGAAATGTCTCTTCTCTGGGAGTGAATCTTCCCTACAGGACCATCCATTCTCCAGAACACCTGGAGTTCCCCCTGCTCGTCCCAGGCATGTGGCTGCCTCTTTTGTTTCCAGAGCTGGCAGTGAGCTGACCCGACACTAGCCACACCTGCATCGTTGTGACTTCACACAGCATCTCCCTTAATTGGTACCTAGGGACTCGTTTGCAGGCCTGGCCAGAAAAGTCGAACCAATGAATGTTATTTTGTTCCCTTCCTCATAACTATTCCTTTCCAACATAAGAAAAAGAGGAAGTGTTTGTGAATGCTGCAATTACTCGCTAGCTCTTAAATAAGAAATGAATACTTTAACGTTTGCACTGTCATCTTACCCTCTGGTGGAGATGCCTTCACAGAAGCTCAGGGCATTCTGTTTCAGTGTCTCCAAGGAACTAAGATAAACCAATAACAAAAAAGAGCCCTAATTTACAAGAGTCACCTCCCTATTCGTGTAAATAAGAGTATCTATATTAAGCCTATTTCACTTAAATAATTATACAAAGAGTTGATATTGATGTGTTTTATGCACAGACTCCAAAGTGCTTCCCTTTGATAGACAGAGAGCATCCCTCCACGCTTAAGAATGGGAAAACAAAATTGCACAGAGGTTTGCCCAGAGCAGCAAAGAAAAACCATGGGCAGAATAGGAATAGAAACCACCACTTCTGGCTCTGGTACACAAGCCGAGGAGAATACGATTGTGCCAGCAGTAATATTCATTTTAGTGAATAGGCAGCAATCTGTTTAAAATTGTTTCTTTCATAAAGCCCGTTTGTCAGTACACTAGCTTAGCTGAGCCAACTGCAGCAGCTTGTATTTGTATTATCACGGCGACGTTTGGGGGAGGTGAGCGTGTATCGCTGCAGCCGACTGTTGGCTTTCACCTTCTTTGCTGGTTTTCCCTAAAGGAAATAATTTGCAAAATTCTCTGAGCCAATTTCTTTCTCTTTTCTTTTTGCAGTTAAGGACAAGAAAGTTATTACCAGCCAGCACTGCATAAACAATATTATTTAGTATAAAAAGAGACTGTGTCCTGCCCAGCACACAAAAGTGAAGATTTGTTTTAAACTTCCTCTCAATATCTCGCAATCTTTCTCTCAGCTTTGGCAGGAGGATGTTAGTCATTATTATTCTTACTTTAAATATTTAGTAGTGTTTAAACTGCAGGTCATACATGTGAAAGGCTTGCCATAGACAACTCTGGAACGTTCTGTCTTCCACAGAACCACTGAATAGACCGATTGTCCCAAACTTCATTGTCAAATGTACCTCCCTGCAGCCGAGACAGGCTCGGAGCCTCCTCGGGCAGGAGAACCTGTAAGTCTCTGGGTCCTACTCCATTCATCACTGGACCAGGACATTCATCTCTGTTGCAGAGCCAGACAAAAAGTGGTGCTTTTATGAAGTTGGCACCTATTATCTCAGTATCATCAATTTTAGACTGGACTTCTAGAGCTCCGCAGGCTACTTTGTGCTTCATGCTGAGCACATGAAGGAAGATGGTCTACATCCCAAAGGGCAGACTAACCCAGGGATGTGCCTTCAAAGCGAAGGCCAGTCTTTTCAAAGATTGCACAGGAAATGCCTAGGAACATCTGACGGATGATCTCATCTGCACTGAGATATTTAACAAATGAGCATTACAAATCTGAACTGAAAAAATATAAATCACAACTGTGGAGCAGAGGTTAGAACACCCACACCTTGTCCACCATGAAGTCAGGTCCTGCAGCCACCTGTTCCATGGTTGTCCATGAGGAGAAGCAGCTGTGCTATAAGGGTGTGCATTTATTGCTCTTCCAGAAAAGTCTGCACAGGGAAGTCCTGACCCAGGCTCAGATACACAGCAACAGAGAGCTGTGGGTACCTACGTGCCTCACCAAACTGCTTCACCTGACCCTCACAGAGACAATGTTGTCTTTGAGCCACGGGCCAGACCCTATGCTTAATGTGACCTTGTGTGTGCAATTTCAAGGTTACTCAAAAAACTGTGAGCAACATATGATGAACCAAGGAAGAATGTGCAGCGATGAGTGACAATAACTGCCATTTGATACTTGCTGAAGATTCACACATTATGGCAGTTCTCACACTGTCCCCCAGAGCTTGCATCTTGTCTCTCTTCCTTCTCCTGGCCATGGTTTTACCAGTATTACAAACTGATTTTCTTTTTAGCTGAGGTGCCTCTAAAAGATCAACAGCAACTGGATTTGAAATGCAAGGCTTTGACAGATGAAGCAAAGAATTCCAGCTTGATCCTGAGGCCTGGTTGAACAACACTAAGGGTCAGTGCCTTCAAATCAGACGCTTTACTGAGTTGGCCAAGTTTGACTCCCTACCACTGATGGCACTGTCAGCCACAGCTTCTGGGGAGGGGACGACTGCAAATTGAAATGGTATCAGACTGTTCTAACAGATAGCTGGTATTGTCTCTGAACTGCCCGTTACCAGGCATCCCTAGTCAGCAGGGCCAGACCAAGGCTGTGATATTGAATTCTGCAGCTCCCTAAGGCTCAGTTTGATCTCCTGTGCCTGTTTGGTTTGATTATCTTTACACCTTTCTGAGCTTCACAAGCAGGTTTTTGTTCAGAAACAACATCTGAGTCATGGCCGTTCTTGTAAAAAAAAATATCTGGTTTTAGATAATCCAGGCCAAGAACGCACACGTAAGAGCTTATTATTCGTTATTTTTTCCTTCGTTGTGCCTTTGTTTAAAAAAGCCTCTTATCCAACCAGAGAGTGGGAAAAAATGCTACGAGACCGAAGGGAACATTGAGACACTACAGAAAATGAGTATCAAACACCTGAATCATAAAAGTCCATAAACTAATTAGTGTTCATCAGACTACTCGGTAAAGATTTTAAAATAAAAAACAAGCTTGCATAACTCAGGATCAGATTGCAAAAGGTGTCTGATTCTTAAAAAGAGCTAAGTTTGCTCATCTGTCTACTTAAAACAAGCAACCAGATCTAAATGTATGCATTTTTTTGAAAGAATTTGTACTGTAATTGGAAAGAAGATACAGAAAATTAATCAGTCTGGAAAGCTATTAAATAGTTACTCCTTTCTGCTCCTTTGTTATGTGCAAACCCACCTCAAAACCTATTCACTTTGAACCAAAATACTAAAAATCCCATTGCAAATGCTCTCCAAGGTTGTATAATGAAACTACAAGTCTTTTTTTTCGTTATCAGAGCTCCTGAACAACCACGGCTCCCAGTGTTTCTTGTATTTGGCTCCGTGGAGCCAGATGCCAAGTGTCTGTGGAAGCCTGGCTGTGCCAGGATCTGCCTCAGCAAGTTCTGGGCTCAGATTGCACCTGGTCACACAGTGGCAGTGAGAGGACTGTGGTCCTCCTCCAGTCTTGGGTGCAAGGTGAGCTGAATAATTAAAAAAAAGAAAGAAAGAAAGAAGTAATAAAAAAGAAAATCTTGCAGGTTTCGTTGCTGTATGCAAACCCTGACTAGAAGATTCCTAGGACTGTTCACTATCACTAGTGATGTATGATACCGATCGAGTCTTTCAGAGCTTGGATACTGAAAGAGAACAACAATTCTGCTGCCCCAGCATCGAAATACTGTTTAAAATTTGTCAGACAGAATAGCAACACTTAAGGGATGTGGCACAAAATCCCCTCAACTGGTTTTATTTTCTGTCTCTCCCCTTACTCACTCACTGCTCCCAGTGGTGAGGGATCCCGAGGGACTTCATCCCAGGTTTGAAGTGCATATAAACATCCTTCCTCCACACCATCTTGAGGATTCAAGATCTCTAACCCTAGCATAATGTCCTCCAAGTACCAGGACTCACCGAAAGCATCTCTTGTCATCCAAGGACTTTGCACTGTCCCTATGTCTCCACTGCTGGAGTCCTAGAGGTGCTGAGCAAGGGACTGTCCCAGCTGAAAGGAGAGCAGGAGAAGGCACATCTGCTGTCATTCACTGTTGTCATATAAAAAAGTCATCCACCACTAGTTAAGGCTGATAGCATCTAAGAGGAATAAGGCCGCCAACAATCTACTTGCAATTTGTTCACCAGCTTTCAGGAAGGGGTTTGTTATCGGAATTTTATTTCCCAAGTGGGAGATGGTAAAGAAAGAAAATTTAGTCTTTGTGTGCCAAATTGGTAACAGGTAGGAGAGGAAGCCCTTGGGCCAATAGCTGCTGCTTTATCAAATGTATCCAATGAACTAATCCCCCAACTGCCTTTTTTCCTTTCTCATGGTGGTAGGTAGATAGTATCAGCCACACTTTTCTGATGGGTGCAGAAGCACCTGGTATACCATATTGTCAGAAGGTGATGCCTTAGAGTGGCAGAAACAGATCAGAGTTGCACATTTGCAGCTCTCCAAGAAGAAATAAGATGTGTGTCTTGCCTTGAATTTTGGCTGTGAAGACTTCCACTGGAACAGTGCTGCCTTGTACCCTGGGACTACTCACTACAGGGTTTCAGACACACCAGGCTGACCTTCTGATGTTCCTGATGACCCAAAGGTGTCAAATCATCAGTCTATTCTAGATGACATTGTAAAGGGCACGGTGAACAAACCTGTTCTACAGAACGCATTGGGCTATGGAGAGCCTGTCTGCACTTGGGGGGACAAAGATTTTCTAATTCCTGTTAAAAGGAAGTAACCATATTTTTGATCTGGTGTTCTTAATAATAATAGATAGTGGCATGTTCGAGAAGAGCATGATTCTGATGCCTGAGGTACTGCTACTGATCCTGACCCATTCTGTTCATACTAGTGGGAACAATGTTTTTGTCAATGGTTAAAGGATCCTGGACAAAGAATGATGGAACCAAAAGTGGGAGGTATTATTTCATAACTGACATTTTATTCAATTAAGCTGAGGACCTAAATGAGGGGACGAGTCATGCTGTGTTCAGCATGACACATGGAAGAACCCCAAGTGCAGTCACAACCTACAGGTTCTGCTACCACTCAAAAGCACCTCAGATCCTGCTCTGAACCTCCACGGCTCAGCTCTAGAAAGCTGACATGAATCTCCTGGTCAGCACAAACCAGACCACTGAATTTCTGTCTTGCTACCTGCTTTCACATGAGCAACTAGGGAAAGGCCTCGGACTTTTGACTGCAGCATGGAGAACACTTTGAGTTTTGCTCTCATTTCAGCAGGTGCAGGTTTCAAGTCCTTGGAAAACAAACGGTCATTTGCTCTCCTGGTCACCTCTCACTCAGTTTTGTTCTTGCTGTCATTAGAAATGGCACAAAAACTAGTGAAGGAGAAGGGCTTAAAATAGGGTTCCCTTTCTAACCAAAAAGTTTTTGATGAGCTAACAACATAAGTGCAAATCTCAGCTGTGCTGGTCCCATGACATCACAAACCTTAGGCATAGCAAGTAGCATTCTTGAATGCATCAAAATCTTGTCTTTTAGCATTTAATGCGAGACATTACAAACTAATGAAGAGGAGAAATGTATGCAGAGGAGAAATGTATGCAGTGTTGCTGTAAACCAAATATACAGATGTAAAATAATTAAGAATAAACTGTTCCATAAAAATGCATGTCAATAAAACCCAGTCTGATAAAGTGATTTATGAATAATTTTCTAGAATTACTAAAAAGAATGATTTCTCGTTTGAGGCTCTGGAAGTCTTGAGTCACATTTTTTTTTTCTTTTAAAAAAATGTCTTAAAACACATGGCTTTACAGCTGCTGCTTGGAAAATATACACCTCCAAAGTCTGACTTTCATTTAAATACAAATGTACAAAATGTAAACTGAGACAATAGAGAAATTTACAAAACTTTTCTTTAAAAATAATAAAGACAAAATTCAGTTCTAGTATGATGCTATTTAAATACGTGCAAGTAGTCATGTTCATTGAATTTCTATTGCAATGTTCTAAATAGACAAATTTGATTCACACAGTCTTGAGTGCCACCTCCAAAAACAGACCTGAGTGGAAAATTCTTCTTAAAATGTGAGGCTCCACTGGAAGGAATGGATAGAAAATCTCCATTTTTGGGAAATCCCCCTTTTTTTTTTTTCACTCAATGGTGGAGGCTCTCTCATCCATAGAAGCTCCATAGATTATAGTGGAAGGATGCAACATGTTGTTTCACAAAACTGAGTTGGAACTAGCTGCTTCCAGTGGAGTTTGAACTTACGTGATTTGAATTTATGTGGTGATTTAAATTGGCCTTTGAATTTGGAGAGCTCTTTGAATTGTTCTGATGCTGTAGAAAGAAGAAGACAATGAAAATTAGATTCCCCAAACATGCCATGCTTTCTCTTAGTCCAACATTGTTCATTTTATGGTGATAATGTACTGACTGGACTGCAAGATTTTTGTTTGAAGATCTTTGGATGTAAAATATTCTCCACTTTCTTACCTGCATTCTCTCTAGGTCAGGTGGACCATGGCAGTTCTTGAGGAATGCAGCAAAGAAGTCACACTCGAGCTCCAGAAGTCAAACAAATTCACTGCAAAATGTCAGTATCTGCTAAATCTGACTAATACAGAGGATACGTGCTAATGCTCAGGCGTGGATTTAACCCTATAGAAATAGATTGGTCTAAGACTGTTACTTAGATTTACAAGTGGTGCCATGGTGCCTCATGAAAGCTGTAGATCACTTATTCTCTGGTCTGCTGTCTTCTCTAGAGTCTTGGTTTCCTGCCATTACTATCTTACTCAACATTTGCATCTTCTCTGTTTGTTTTTTTTTTAAACACATATATCAAAGGTTTTCACAAGGAACTTATCGAAACCATATAACCATTTCAAAAGGCATTTCAGCATATCCCTGAAAAATAATTTGGGTAAGAATTTTTCAACCACTGGAAACAAAGCTGACAATAAAAAAAGCTGGTAAAAAAATCACAAGAGGTAGATGGAAAACCTGGGATAGGCAGTAGTAGTCAGGAAATTACCAGGTAACTGTGACAGGAAGCACTCTATAAGAATTTCTGTCTTTCTCCTCCAAAAATATCACCAGAACATGGCTGTGACACTGGGCATCTATGAGAGGTTCCTTGTCTTAGTCATAAAAAATCTTACCTGTCGTTTAAATATTCTCTGCAGCAATCCTTTCTTGGGTGGCTCTGGGGGGTAGCTTTTGTTTAGGTCTGGTGAAATAGTACCATTTGGTCCAAATACATTCAGTTCTTTGAAACACTCTGTTTCTATCATCTAGTGGAACACCATAAGAGAGAGAGAGAAAAAAAAAGAAATTACACATCTGCATTAAATATATTCCAGCAGTGCTAGGTTGTTCAAAGTCAGGATGAGGACCAGCTTGAGCTATATGTTAGAAGAGTTAACAGTTGAGTTCCTGCTGGTGGCTGTAGAAGGTAAATAGGATGTATGAAAACAGGCTGGGTCTGCTCTGCATGTTTGCCCATCAGTTGTCTTAGAAGTTACCCCCTAAAGCTTTCTCTTCTTTTCTTTAGCACTGTGGAGAATATTGGCTAAAGGCAGGCATACTCACAAAATCCCAGTTATTACCACCCCTCTGCCCAAGTGGATCTGTTGTTTGATCCAGAGTTGGATCATGAAATCCACTGTTGGCTGTGTTTTGATATCCAACAGAAACAAAGACCTAGATCTGGAAACCCTGGAGCAGTTCAGGGTCCAGAGTCAACTGATTCAGCTGGGACCCGCTGGAGGTACAAGACAATGGGTGAGATCAAGATCACCAAGGGAAGAGCCTTCCATTAGGACTTCCAGCCATCCCACGGAAGTTCCTCAGAGCTGTTGTTGAAACACCTCTGCAGAAATCCAGGAGAAGGATGTGCAGTAGGATCCTTGCCAATATACACAAATATGCAGAGCCAACAGATACAGTCACCTGAACCTGACATCTGTGGTACATTATAGATCTTGAAAGAGGCCATTTGTAATTTATGAAAGCATTAGAGTTTGGCAAGTTACCCAGTAGCTATATATTACTGGAAATATACAGCTCCTCTTAAACCACCTGTGTTAGGGGTTTTATTGGAGTAATTTTACTATGATACATCCTTACCTCATTTTGCCATGGAATAGACACTGATCCTGTGGAAAACTTGGAATAGAAATCATCATCTGTTTGGTCCAGGTTGACTCCTTTCACTGTGGAGAATTGCTCGATGTCTAAGACATCCTTGCAGTACACTGCTCTGGGCTATCTCAGCAGAAATAAAAAAAAAAAAAAAAAAAAGAAAAACAGCAAGAGAAAAAATACTTGTGAATCTGACCATGTGCTTTCATTCACAGATTCAGTCAAGTGAGAGTGCCTAACAAGAAGTGACTCTGGGTTTAATATTTTTCCTAGAACTTTTTTTTTTTTTTTTTTTTTTTTTTTTTTTTTTTTTTTGTATCTCAGAAAAAAAAAAAAAAAAAAAAAAAAAAAGGAAAACAGCAAGAGAAAAAATACTTGTGAATCTGACCATGTGCTTTCATTCACAGATTCAGTCAAGTGAGAGTGCCTAACAAGAAGTGACTCTCTGCATTCTGCTTCTCTAGGCTTGCTCTGCCCGCATGTTTATCATCAAAGGCTGACTTCGCTTTAAGCATGTTAAGCGTCCCTCTTTGAAGTCCTTAAAGCATCACCACAGCCAAAGTGGGTTTTAGTCATCCATGTACCATATGGTTAAGAGGTGAGGGGAAAAGGAGAGAACGAACAAGAAAACAAAACCCAAATCCTTCAGTGGTCTTTTAGAGAGGGAACAACAGAAAACCAGAACGTTTACGAGTGACACACTGGAGACAGCCCTGGAACGGGACCTCAGGTGGAAGTGTCCCTCTGCTCAGATGGCTGTGGAGCTTGCAGCTTAAAAGTTTAAAGGAATGTATACTAATTGCTAAAGAAAACAGAAGAGGTTTGGCATTCTTCCATTGTTTTTATTAATAGCTCAGCTGCTGGAAGCTGTCCAGAATCACCTCTATTAACTCTTTTAACTTGGCTGCCTTTCTTCAAACAAATAGTCAAATGGCTTTGCCTTTTTAAACTACTTCATTTTCTGGGATGACAGAGACAGGACTCTTTGCAGCGACACTGCTTTCAGCTCATATTCTAGCAGTCAGCCACGGAAAGCAGAAATAGTCATCGCTGGCTACCTGTCATAGCGTGGTCATCTGCATGCCTAGAGAGCTCCATCAACACCACACTTATCCTTTGAAGAGCAGGAGTAATTGAGGGGTGGCTCCTGGGACTAGCCTGACCTGCTGAACTCAAGCACGTGTTGAATCCCACTGCCTACACATGGCGCCGTGACTGCACAGCCCAGGGGTCCAACCACGCAGTATTTTATCTGGTTCTGAGCAGTGTGACCAAACAAATCAAGCTGATTCCTGACAGAAGTCCTAATTGCTGTAGGCTGCATCCCTCTGGGTTCCTGACGGCTGCGATCCACATTTTTGTGGAGACAGAGAAGTCTAGAAGAGGATGGAGAAACATGGGATGGATTACAACCCCTGCCATTAGCTATATAGCTCTGGGTGATTCAGCTGCCTTCAGTAAAGACTTGGAAATCTATGGATGAAATGCCAAATAAATTAAATTAGGGGCAGCTCTTGAGTTCCCAATAAATAGCCATAAAAATTTATGTGCCTTTGCTTTAGCAAATATGTCTATAAGAGGTGCCTTCTAGGCCTTACATGCCACAGTTAAGCTTTTAATACACTCTGGCAGATCCCAAATTTGAGCCCAGAATTTTCTAATTTTCTACATCAGAAAGAAATAGTAGCTTGTCTCCTATTTCTTCCCACTAAAGCAGGTCGTAACACCATGGGCTAATTGGCAGGAATAACTAGGCCGCATAGTAAAATGTAAAGCAAAACCAGAGCAGCTAAAGTAAACTTTTGTAGCGTTCAGACCACTTTGGTTTGGTCGAGTTTGCAGCAATGTGACTGAGAGCTGCCAAGATGTTACTTTCCTTAATACGTTAAAATGGCCGTGTTTACTTAGAACCATATGGGACCTTTAAGGATAGAAGGCCTAGCCAGCAAGAGAGCCCTGCAGGAGGAAAATAATCAGATAACTCTATGTGCTGGGGCAGAGACCAATACCACAAAAGGGTGGAAAAAGTTTTGTTCTTGCCAATGCAACAAAGACTTTCAGTGTGTGCAAGGCTGGTGTGTAAACCTGAGTAAGAACTCAGGGCTTGGTTGTGCGCCCCATGAACACTAACGAGTTCAAAATGCTCTCTCAGGTTCAAGTCATCTCCTCTGCTTGAGGTGACACTTGATATCTCAACCAGGTTCAGAATCTCTGTAACAAATGCCTCTTAATGGCAGTGCAATCCATTCCTCAGTTCCATAGAGCTTTGGAGCTTGTAATTTTGGTTTCACCTCAGCGTATGTATCTCTATATCTGCATACATACATGTGGCTTTCATTGCTGATTGTTCCAAGCACCTGAGCATACTTATTCTCACCCTACTACCACGGATAATGGAAAACAAAGGTTCCCAGTTTAATGTTTGGGAACTGAGGCATGAACAGATCAAGTGGTGCCTCCAGTGTGACGCAAGAAGACTGTGGTAAGATGAGTGGGAATGAATCAAGGTCCAGGTTACCACCTGACATGGAGGCCCACCAAACCCGCATGCACATAGAATCATAGAATCATCTAGGTTGGAAGGGACCTTAACTGCCAGAACCACCACTAAACCATGTCCCTCAGCACCACGTCTACCTGTCTTTTAAGTACCTCCAGGGACAGTGATTCAACCACTTCCCTGGGCAGCCTGTTCCAATGTTTGATAAACCCTTCTGTGAAGCAATTTTTCCTAAATTTCATCCTAAACCTCCCCTGTTGCAACTTGAGGCCATTTCCTCTTGTCTACAGAGCAACTCTCCTCTTCCTCCCAGCCACCCCACTCCAGCCCTACCGCTTATCACATCTTCCTGGGGTGGCTACCCATGCAAGGAGTGATGACAGTTCTAAGAGAAAGAAGTTATTTTAGAAACAAATCTCTTAAAGGAGGCCCCTGAGGGTTCTTCGTATTGTACTTACATCAGGGACAAAAGGAGGATCCAGCATTCCTGCTTCTAACCGCTTGAAATTCATGCTCTTGAAAAAGGGGTGCCTCTTCACTTCTGCTGCACCTTCCCCTTGACATCCCAGCCGCTGCTTCACATCTTTGGTGAGGAGCTGAAACATGCCAAGAGGAATGGTAAGGGTGTCAGAAAAGCAAGAGCTCCGCAAAGATATTTTTATCTCCAGTTGATTTTGAATGTGCCCAGAGGGAAATACAGAGGGGAATTGTAATTGCTGTTACTTCTTGGCCAAAGGTAAATGGATTAGGACTGCGCTGCTCTACATGCTGGTGAAACCTTTTGAATATTACCTGCTGTAAAGTGTTTACAGTCAAAATAGAGACTGTTGCTTCCATTTACTTTCAGGGAATACTTTCAAGAAGAGGTCTGATATACCCTAATAAGATATAAAAATGCATATTCATAAGTCTCATGTGCTTTTTCTCCATTCTTTTTTCTTGTTACCGTTGTAAGAATAATTATCCCATGTTGCTTAGCCTGGGTGACTTCACTATCAAATTCTACTTCTCCCCACCCATCACGGTGTATTCCAGTACATCACATGACACACTGAACCAGCCCTCTGTGCTCATGGGCCTATATCTGCTGAACTGTTGTCCATGGAGCCAGCATTGGTAACCATCCTCAGCTCAGCCTTGTTTCTTTTCAAAGAGGGCAATGCACCATCTCTACCTGCTACAGCAAGTCCCGCCTGTTTCCTGGATGCCTCTAATGGAGCAATGGACACTAATTGAACTCAGCATCCTTGGTCCATTAGATAAGGAGGTCCATGAACACAAACACAGGGGTGGTAGGTCCTGGAAGACCTTGCATGGATGGACTAATTGATCTACAAGACAACAGGTCAATGGAAGAGCAATTCTGGCACAGACTAGTTGGTGGATGAGGAGACAGAACATTTAGCCAAATCTTCACCAAAATTCCTCTTCTTTTAAATCATATGCATAGAACCAAGCAGGGTAAATCAACATCTTAAGACATTATGTCTAAACAGTTGAAGAGACACATAGCTCAGAAAGTAAATGACTGGTGCAAAAAGACCACCATCTGGGACAGTAACCTTTCTAAATGTACCACTGACTTCAGGCAATCTGCTGAAAAGCAAAGGTTCACAAATTTGTTTCCTTTTTCCTTACATTCATCTTTAAGGAAGCCTGCATCATGCTCTCGTACATAGAGGAGGGAAAATATAACTCCAAACTCACTATAATCTGCCCAGAGATTGGAAGTGCCTATTGAAGAGATGCATAACGTGTGCCTTAGTACAACAGAACAATAAACATGCATTGAAAACAGTCAAGGCTGGCTTTGCTGGAGTATCCACCTTGAGGAAAAAAACCTACATACTTACACTGCAACATCATGGAGGAAATATGAACACAAGCCCTTTTCCACAGGATATGCCCCCTGGAGCCGGGCGTGCAGCCAGGCTCAGCACTTTTGGTACCCTGATTTCCAAGCAGCCGCTGAAGGCAAGCTGGCTGACCCAGCCTGCGCTGACACCAAGGCTGTGGGGCAGCCCCTGGCCCCACCACGACCCCCCAACTCCGGCTGGGGAGAGGAAGGGAGAGGGGCAGCAGGGGGATGCCCGGCGCGGAGCGCGGCTGCCGGGCGCGGCGGGGCCGCCGGGGGGCAGCAGAGGAAAGGGCAGC